TCGCACTGGATGTTCGTGACCTGGCAAAGCTCAGGCCTCAGCCAGAAGGAATGAGCTCTTTTAGAGCTGACTCTCCAGCTCCCCTCCCCTTCCCAGAGGCCAGGTGGGTGAGGCTGAAGGATCCAGCCCTCTAGTCCCTTGGTCCATAAACCATGTTTGTATTATGCCACACAGACACACAACTCTCCTCACCATCACAACCCTCTGAAGTAGATGCCATCTTTTATTCCCCCATGTCACACATGAGAAAACCAAGGTCTAGGTAAATTAAGTGACTTGCCCAAAGCCATGTGATCAGTGCGATGAAGCGCTGGGATTTGAATCCAGTATCCGAGCCCATACTCTTAGCCACCGAGCTGACAATGCAGTAAGTCTTCCTCTTCCTCTGAGAGAATGTGAGTACACTTCACTTAAAGGATGAGTTGGACTTCACAAGATTATGACCTTCCCTGCAGGAATGTCTAAATCATACACAAGTACCTGGTATGTAGTGGAATCCATTCACCAGAGAGAAGCCATCACAGGCCCAAATAATTATCTGAGTAACTTCCCACAATTCTGATTCATTCCTTCTGGTTGAGGCCTGAGCTTTTCTGGGTCATGAACATCCAGTGCGAATGCTCCACCAGGATGGGGCAGCCAGACACAGTCTGCACAGGGAGGTGCTGGGCAGGGACTAGAGTTCAGAGGACTGCCCAGCGGGAGGTCACAGCTCTGTGCCTCCCCCTTGTCATTCTGGGTAATGGAACCTGGGGAAATGTCAGGTTTGCATCATGGATCCATTTATGGGGCCATTATCTCAGCCACTGTTGACCCAGCCCTCCCTGAGCTGAACTCTAAACTCCTCACTCTCTTCTTAGGATCCTGCCTCTGGAGGGCAACAAGGCACAGAAGAGGATTAGAAAACCTAAGAATTAAAAGACAAACAGCCTGGGCAGGGCCCTCAGCTAGACCTCAGAAGAGAACAGGGCCTGGTGCTGGGAAGACCTCAGCCACTGCAGCCTCTGACACAGGCTTATCATCTTCACAAACTCACCCCTCCTCTCTCCCAGCTCAGTAGTGGAGCTTCTCGGGAAAGTTCTCACCTGACTCTGTCAGGAAAGTTAGTGAAAGGGGCCCTCTTTCCACCACCGGCTATGGGCATGGAGATCTTTAAAAGTTCAGATAGGGCCAGAGAATCAAAGTGAGAAAACTTCAAGGGAAAGTGAAGCTCTTTCAAGAATTTTTTAGTTTCTCTTCCGCTCCCTAAAAATGATAAGAGTATAGCTATTAAAAATTCGGACTCTGGTTTGGTGCCAAGAGTTCCTGGGTTCAAATCTTGGTTCTATTATTTACTAGATGTGTATATGTGGTGAATGACTATTCAGGTTCCCTGTCTACTAAAACAACTGTCCTCACCCTGTTGTGAGGACGAAAGAAGCACTCAAGTCATGCCCAGCACATAATTATTGTAGCACTCAGTAGACATACTGCCTATGGAAGCTCTGGTCCACCCTGTCTCAGAAATCAGCCAGCAGCCAGCACCCAGCAAAGGCAAACTTATTTTGAAAGAGAGATGGCAGACAGGTGTCCCCAGGCCCCTACGAGAATAAGGCCTAATAGAGTCAGGTAGATTATATCCCTGCTCCAGATTTCTTTTTTTTTTTCTTTTTTTTTTTTTTTTTTTTGAGACAGGAGCCTCAAGCTGTCCCCCTGGGTAGAGTGCTGTGGCATCTCAGCTCACAGTGACCTCCAGCTCCTGGGCTCAAGCGAGTCTTCTGCCTCTGCCTCCCAAGTAGCTGGGACCACAGGCGCCCGCCACAATGCCCAGCTATTTTTTGGTTGCAGCCGTCATTGTTGTTTGATGGGCCCAGGCTGGATTCGAACCAGCCACCTTGGGTGTACATGGCTGGCGCCTTAGCCACTTGAGCCACAGGTGCCGAGCCCCTGCTCCAGATTTCAGCTGAAACTTTTGAAAAGCCCCTTCTCCCTTGCTCTGGTCAGAATTAATTCAGCCTCCTTCCTCTGAACATGCTACCTTAACCCTATCGCCCCTGCAGAGCTTATCATCTCCTATGGAGGATTATTAATTGATCAGACTCCCTGACCAGATTTTCTGAGGTAGAGAACTAAGTTCAAGTCATCCTTCTATCTCAAACAAATCTCAAAAGACAAAGTGGGTTTGTTTGGGTGTTTTTTGGAGACAAAGTCTCGCTGTCTCCCAGGCTAGAGTGCCATGGCCTTACCCTAGCTCACAGTAACCTCAAACCCCTGGGCTCAAGCAATCCTCCTGCCTCAGCCTCCTGAGTAGCAGGAACTACAGGTGTGCCTGGCTAAGGGTCTTGGGATCTGGCTCTTCATTTTATTTATTTATTGAGACAGTCTCACTTTGTTGCCCTTGGTAGACTGCTATGGTGTCACAGCTCACAGCAACCTCAGACTCCTGGGCTTAAGCCATTCTCTAGCTTCAGCCTCCCCAGTAGCTGGGACTATAGCTGTCTGCCACAATGCCTAGCTATTTTTAGAGATGGAATCTCATTCTCAGGCTGGTCTGGAACTCCTGAGCTCAGGCAACCATCCACTTCATCCTCCCAAAGTGCTGGGATTACAGGCATGAGCCACTGACCCCCGGCTGGGGTTTGGCTCTTTAGTACAGGCAGAGGTTTCAGGGTCTAGCTCAGGCTGGCCTCGAACTCCTGAACTCGAGTGATCCTCCTGCCTGAGCCTCCCAGAGTGCTAAGATTACAGGCATGAGCCACAGTGCCCAGTCAAAACAAAAAGATTCTGATGTGAGCAACTCATTCACTCCTCCCGGCACCTCTGAGGACAGATGAGGGGAAGTTTCCCATGGGAAGGGCACTGACAAACCACAAGGTCAGTTCCCACCCTGGTCTCCAGGGTATTACTCAAAATGACTCAGTTTCCTCATCTGTACCTACAAAATAGGAAAACAGTCCCGTCCCATTCAGCTCCCTGGGTGGGTACAGAGCCAACTGTGATGACACTCAGGACAAGACAGGGTTTTGTAAATGTCTCCTCCGGGCACCTCATTCCCAGCAGCAGAGAAGCTTGGTCTCACTAAATGGCCTTTGGCCTCCATTCAGCCTCTGAGAGTGGGTGTTACAGTAGAATTCCTTTCCAGACTTTGAGTGTCTTCATTTACCAAGAGGAAAAGAAAAGCTGTGTGACCCAGGCCAGAGGCCTCTCCTCCTCCTCTGTCTGCGTTTTTCTCCTCTGAAAGTCCTGCACAGCCCTGCCTGTCCACTGCGGCTGCCTCTCACCCTTTCCTGAGGAATGCAGCCTTAACCCGCCTGCCTGCCAGGCTCCTGCCCTGGGAGTCTATTCCCCTTCTCCCTCCCTCCATTTGCAATCACTATTTATTTATCTTTGGAAGTTCAAGGAACCAGAGCCTGCAACTGGGAGAGATCTGTGGAGCCAGGGAGGGAAAGTGAAGAGGCCAATGTCTGCCAACAGTGGGCAGGGGGGACAAGCCATGTCCCTGAGGGAGGTGGGGGTGGCTGACAGGAGGGGGCCTGAAAAAGGCACCGCACACACCAGCAGGGCCAGCGTCACCAAAGAAGGGTATTGCTTACCTGAGGGACTTGGGTGGCACAGTGAAGGATGGGGACAGAAGTCTGCCCCAACCCTGGCAGCTCTGTTAAGGCACAGAAAGATCAGTCTTTGCCAGGGAACCGGGAACACCTGGGGCCCCCTTCCCTCTGTCTCCAGCCACAACCCCTGAGTCTGCGGTCCATCTAACACCACAGGGAGCTTGCATTGCCCTCTGCCCTTCTCAAAATCTGCCAAAGCCACAAGTCCTCTGACTTGGGAAACCGAGCGCTCTGCTCTCCCATTCTCAGGCTCATGCCACAATTTACATTTAATTTATACACCAGGGAGCAGACAGGGCCCCTTCTGACCCGAAGTCACCTGCCCGCGCAGTGCCCCCTGCACACCCTCCCACTGAGCCCTGCTCTTCCTCCTCCTTTCCCACCCACTGCCCCCCCAACCCCACCACACAGAGGGTTGTGGAAAAGGTAGGAGGCCAGATGTAGCCTTGTCTGCCCGGCCTTTGACCTCTCCTTGGCCGAATGACATGCACTTCCCGCTGGGCGAGGTCACCAGCAGCAGTTGAAGGTCTGCGCCTCCTTGGTCTCAGGCTTGTACCCTCCTGCGGGGGCTTCAGCCCGGAGCTTGAGGGCAGGCAGGCGCGGGAGGACGAGCGGACTTGCAGGCTGGCCCGTCTTGCCCGGGTCAAAGGAAAACACAGAGCGGTGTGCAAAGTTCAACCAGAAACATGGCGCACGGGACGTCTCTGGCCGTCTCTGGCCAAGCCCGCTGGTCACTGAAAGCCCCAGCTGCGTGGGTCGTGGGCTAGATGAGCAAGGGCGAGGGGGATTTGTGGAAAGGTGTTGGCGCTTAGTTTAGAGGTCTGAGGTGGCTTGTGGAGAGGAAGGGTCCTGGCCCGAGAGAGAAGGGAGAGGCAGAGAGGAGTCTTGGTTGAGGCTGGGTGCAGGGGACGTGGGGGCCCCTCTCGGTTGAGGGCCCAGGCCTGGCTTCGCATCTGGAGGCGCTAGGGCCTCGCGGAAGGCCTGGGCGGCGCGGGGAGGGCGGGCGGCGGCGGGAGCGGCGCGGCGCCGAGCTGCCTCCATCCATGGCACGGAGCGGCGGCGGCGGCGGCGGCAGGAGCCGGGTGCGATCCGCTAGGTCCCAGCCCGGCGCTGAGCGAGCAGGGGACGCGGAGGGGTCGGGCCTCCCCCGGCCCGCGAGCACAGAGCTGAGCCTCGGCCCGCGCCGCCGGGGGCCGCCTGCGCGGCGCTGACAGCGGCGCCCGCGTCCTCCCCGCCGGGGCACTCGCCGGACATGCCCCCGGGGCGCGGCGGCGGGGACCCCGGGGCTTGCCTCCGCCCAGGGCCCCCCGCCCCGCCCTCGGGAGCCCTGGGCCCCCGCTGAGCACGCCTCCGGCACGCCCGGGTCCCTCCGGCCGGCGCGCAGCCGGGCCCCAGCTCTGTGGGTCCCCGCGGGGCGATGGGTTGATGGGCGCCGGGGGACGCAGGATGCGGGGGGCGCCCGGGCGCCTGCTGCTGCCGCTGCTGCCGTGGCTGCTGCTGCTCCTGGCGCCCGAGACTCTGGGGGCGCCCGGCTGTCCGGTGCCCATCCGCAGCTGCAAGTGCTCGGGGGAGCGGCCCAAGGGACTGAGCAGCAGCGCCCCCAACCCGGCGCGCAGGAGGGTGGTGTGCGGCGGCGGGGACCTCCCGGAGCCTCCCGATCCCGGCCTTCTGCCTAATGGCACCGTCACCCTGTAAGTACCCTTCCTGGCGGGACGAACCGAGGCAAGACGGGGGGGTGCTGAGGAGCGGGAAGGTGGGTCGGGAGGAAGCCCACCATTTCGGAGACTTCAGGACTAGCGTCCATAAGGAGGCTTGGAGAGCAGGGAAAGACTGAGGCTCCCGGAGCGTCCAGGGAGGAAGGGGCTTGGAGGGAGGGCGCCGCGGGCGCCTCTCACCTGCACAGGACAGTGGAGGGCACGCGCCGCGTAAGTTTCCAACTTAGGCTAGTGCTGCGGGCTTCAGGGACCTTGGGAGTGTGAGAGGAGGGACGCGGCTCGGGACAGATGGTCTCCCGTGGCCCAGTGAATGCTATCCGGGCCAGATAGAAGGAGTCTCCCGTATTTACCCGGCGGCCCGGCCCCTGCCGTTGGGGACACCCAATCCGTATTCCGAGCTTGCCAGCCCCGCTGCCAGCCCGTCTCCATAAGGCAGCTGGAGGGTAGGCTCGGAAAAGTCTGGCCTTGAAATGTGGGCGCTTCTGATCTACAGGAGACCCTGCGTCCCTATCCCTCCACGGCCTCTCTCCCGGGGCGTGCGTTTGTGTAGTAAGTGAGCTCTCTGCGGGGTCCCGCGTCCCTGCCTCTTCCTTGCCTCCTGGGAAGTGACTCTAATTTTGGCTGCTTCTCGATTGACGAAGCGCAAAGACTGCATAGAAAGAAATTGGCTGGGCGGACGGGTGCACCCTGGCCTCCTTCCGGGACTCTCCTCTCAGCCAGAGCCTTAGTAAGCCCTTGCTTTGCTGACGACCAGCCTGGCTGCGCAGAGACCCTACCGCAAGCCGCCTCTAAGGGGGGTAGGTTCAAGTACCGCCAACCGCACGAACACTGGCGACCCTTCCCCACCGCAGAGATTTCCTGCGCCTAACACGTGCTCCCAGCTCCACCGCATGCCATGGACTTGAGGGTCGGGCCATCCCGGCTGCCCCTTCCTTCCCTATCCCAAATCAAGCCTAAAAGCCACTTCCCTTTCCCTGTCCTCCTGACCCCAGTGGCGACCGTTTCTCCACCGCCCCTTGCCCGGAGTTGGGCTGGCGCAGTCTATTTGATTGTGTCCAGAACAATACAGTAACGCCTCTGGTTGGGTGAGTTCAGAGGCTGCCCGCTTCCTGACAGGACACAACTGGTCAGCCTCTGACGTTGGCGGCTTGGCCTGCATGTCCCCCACTGGGAGGGGGCTGTTCGAGTGTGCCTCGGTGTGGGGGCAGCGCGTCTGCTCTCTGCCACCTCCCTACGGCTTGGGGCTATGGCAATGGCAGGTCTCTCTAAGTGTCCACTGGTGTTTAAGGGGCCCAGAAAGCCTGGGCATTCCCCAGACCACTCAGTGGTGGAGAAGAAAAATGCTTGCAGGGTGGACTAATAGGGCCTGTGTCTGTGTGAGTCCGAGCTGCATGAAGATAATTCAGCTCTGAAAGCCGTGCATATGTGTGTTTGTGTGTGTGCCAGCACACACATCCCCTGTGTCTGAGCTAAGAGCCATGCATGTGTGTGTATGTGTGTGCCAGCACACACATGCTCTGTGTCTGAGCTGAGAGCTGTACATATGTGTGTGTGCCAGCACGCACATGCTCTGTGTCTGAGCTGAGAGCCATGCTTATGTGTGTATGTGTGTGCCAGCATGCATGTGCTCTGTGTCTGAGCTGAGAGCCATGCATGTGTGTGTGTGCGTGCCAGCATGCATGTGCTCTGTGTCTGAGCTGAGAGCCGTGCATATGTATGTGTGTGTGTCAGCAGCACATGCTCTGTGTCTGAGCCGAGAGCCATGCATATGTATGTATGTGTGTGCCAGCAGCACATGCTCTGTGTCTGAAGCTGAGAGCCGTGCATATGTGTGTATGTGTGTGCCAGCATGCACATGCTGTGAGCTGAGAGCCATGCATATATGTGTGTGTGTGTGTGCCAGCACGCACATTCTGTGTCTGAGCTGAGAGCCGTGCATACGTATGTGTGTGTGCCAACACGCACATGCTCTGAGTCTGAGCTGAGAGCCGTGCATATGTGTGTATGTGTGTGTCAGCAAGCACATGCTGTGAGCTGAGAGCCATGCATATGTGTGTGTGTGTGCCAGCATGCACATGCTGTGTCTGAGCTGAGAGCCGTGCATATGTGTGTGTGTGTGTGCCAGCATGCACATGCTGTGTCTGAGCTGAGAGCCGTGCATATGTGTGTGTGTGTGTGCCAGCATGCACATGCTGTGAGCTGAGAGCCATGCATATATGTGTGTGTGTGCCAGCATGCACATGCTGTGTCTGAGCTGAGAGTCATGCATATGTGTGTGTGTGTGCCAACACGCACATGCTCTGAGTCTGAGCTGAGAGCCGTGCATATGTGTGTATGTGTGTGTCAGCAAGCACATGCTCTGTGTCTGAGCTGAGAGGCATGCATATGTGTGTGTGTGTGTGCCAGCACGCACATGCTCTGTGTCTGAGCTGAGAGCCGTGCATATGTGTGTGTGTGTGTGTGCCAGCACGCACATGCTCT